GCGGAGTCTGGCAAGTCCCAGGAATGAACAGTCGGGGAAACGCTGTGCGTGAGGAAGGAGTAAGATGGGAAGTAAGAAGTCCTCTTTTTGGCAGATTGTCTCAGCTGCCTGATGTAACTTGACCTCAAATATACGGTTTCACACTATCCCTAATGCAGTGAACTACAGACAGTCAGTCCCCTTCTCACACCCCCAGGTATGCATTCCTGTCCCCTTTCTCGTGCCAGATCTACACAGCTGTGTGACTGCCTGTGGTTCACATCAGCTCACTGCTCACGCAGGATCTATTCACGCTTTTGATCAGCTCGTCTTCCATGAGATCAGGATGCGAGCTGAGGGAGCAGCGGTGTGTGGCAGAGGAGGAGGGCAGGAGTCCTCTTTAGCAGCAATGCAAATAGAGCGGCGTAACCCTGACATGGAACTACACCCTAAATAACCACTGTGGAGGCAGGCCTTGGTGGAGCTGGGCTGTAGGGATGAATTCTGATTTAAATGGAGACTACGGGCGATACCAATCGTACTGAACACTGTACATAAGTTTCCTCTGAAATGCAAATATAAATGTTGCTTTATAAAAGCCAACCAGTGGCACAGCAACTGTAGCGTGACGAGATCGCTTTTCTAAAATGAACCTGTGTTTTCAGGCTCTCGGAACTTGGATGCAAAACATCAGAGAGCAGCAAGGGTGGCACTGCTCCCTCAGGGTGGGTGAGCCGGGAGCCGAGGGCACCCCAAGGCGAGCTGAGCGGTGACCCCACCAGCGGGGCACAGCCCCACTCTGTCAGAGGCAGGCGAGCAGAGCAGGGGCGGTTACTGCAGCGGGGCCGATCGATGGTCCAGGGATCATCAGGCAGGACACGGTAACGGGCCAGGCCTGAGGCTGGTCCGGGAGCCCCCGAGAGCTGGGCTGGTGCAGCTGAGGCGTAGCGCAGGAAGGACTGAACACCCAGACCCCTCAGAGGGTGAGGGTGGAGGCCCCTGTTGAGGCCGTCAAAGCAATTAAGGTCTATTTATGCACTTGGCGCCCTGACACAAAGCTGTGGAGTCAAAATAGCATCTAACAAGGCCTCTACTGATCTAAGGGCAGTACAACCACCCCCAGTCCTGTCTGATATCATAGAACTGTTTATTGGCATATATCTGACAAAATACAGGCATCAAATACTCCCAGATTTCCTCACATTCTGCCTGAGATGCAGGATTTATTTCAGGATATTAAGGGAGCAAACAGCAATTGCTAATTCTAAGACAGGATCAGACAAAACTGCAGGCAATAAGTCTACTGAAAAAATTCAATTTAATTTAAACAAAAATATCAATCTAAATGACTTCCAAACATATAGCATCTTAATCTTTCAGCCTAGAAAAAGAAAAATACGAGGTTGAGTCAGAGATGGTAGCTATATAAAAGAGGATGCATTACTTCTTTAATTACAACATTTGGGGTGAAAGCAGATTTTTTTTACCATCAAACCTTTATTTTACAAAAAAAAAAAAAAAAAAAAAAAAAGAGATGGCGGAAACACTCCGCAAGTTTTGACAAAATACACATGTAGCACCACGGAAAGCTAATTTTTTGGATCTACTTATTTTCTCCTCTCTGTCCCCTCTCCCATGCCCTCCAAGAAACTTTTATTCTTTTTTATGTGGCTTTAATGGCATTGTCATATGTTTGATGATATATGTGGCTTTGAAAAACTGTATGGATAAAGAATCCATGTGCCATACTGCTCAAAATAAATAATCTAGCAGAGAAGAATAAATACATTTTAGCAACAACCTTGAACTCCAGAGCAGGAGTGCTGAAGTACTACTCTACCCAGGGAAGCGGAAAGCAGAAGCATGCTAGGCTGAATGACCCGTGGTGCTTCCCCAAGGATGTCTTCCAAGACACATGCCAAGTGGAGGATATGCACACTGAGTGGCGCAGGCAGCAATCCAGAACCCAGTTACGGTAGCAATATTGCCTGAATGGAAAATCCTGAAGGACAGGGGTGGACACTGGAAGGTCTTTGGGTTTGGAAAGCACCTGGAAGATGTAAGAACCTCCATGGGGTATGCCTAGCACGAGGAGATAAAGCTCCCCTGGCACTTATGTGTCTTGTTCCAGCTCTGATTCAGAGGATTAAGTTGCCTCCTTCCGGAATTTGAGAATGCTATAAAAGAAGGACAATTTTTGCTATAGCTTCTTCTGGAAGATATCCCTTGGCACAGAGAAAAAAAAAAAAGAGTAGAAGAAGGCAGAAACAAAGAAAAAGTAGTAGTTCATCAAGCAGTATAACAAAATACATTGGTTTCTAATTACTTTGGTCTTGAGGATATGGTGCAGGGAAGATTCTTTAATGTCTAATAAAGTGTTGGAGTCATGAAGTCTTTCTCTAGTGGCCAGCAATATTTTTTTTCCTCTGTCTTCCTACTTTCATAAAATTCTCAAGGAGTTGCTGTCTTTCATAACTAATTGCTTCACCTCTCCAACTGTATCTTCATATTTGCTTGATGCTGGCAAGTGCATACAAGGGTTACTAGTATAGGACAGGAGGGTGAAAAGGGATCATTTGGTTTAGGTACCACTTCTGGTCTTGGTCCCTAAACTGCCTATTGTATTATGCGAGATTTATACAACATGGAGAGAACAATTTTTAAAATAACCTAAATATTTGCATTCCTTCTACATATGTCAGTATACCTGCTAACTCAAAATGAAGGCTCCTACTTATAACTGGGCGTCATAGCAACATGATTACAAATATTTTCAGTTATTCAAGAAGTTTCTCAATTATATGGATGTTAATTTCCTCTTCTCACTAACCTTCTGTCCTCATTTTTTCTCCTGACTCCCTAAGCAAAGTTTGCTGTAATGGTGTTTCTCAAAAGCAATTAGATTATATACCCCATGTGCATGCTGCTCAGTGGTAAGCAGTAATTTATATGGAGGTCTGCACTGCATTGTGGTCATCACTAAATGTTGTTAATTCATTTACACCAACCCCACAGCTCTCCCAAGTGACAGATGATTTGAGAAGGCATTACTGTATTTAAGCCTTGTAAAATTTACTGCAAAGTAAGCCTTCATTTGTGAAGATCTGAGTTCTAGAAACAGGCACTAAATACAGCCTCAAAATCTCCCTATTGAACAAGGATTGCTTGAGAGCAATTTTAGTACCACACAGTTTCTAAACCCCTATATGAGCTCAGGACTGAGGATTGCATTTGCCCATACAAAAAACATTGTGTACTCTCCACGTAGACTATTCCTGCAGAGGGGTGGGAAGCTGTGCTATAGTAATTTGGAAGAGGTTTCACATATCTCTGCGTGATCTCACCTATCTGAAAAAAAAACCTCAAACGCAAAATCAATCAAACTGAAAATCACTAAGACTGCTGCCACCAGAATCAAACGGTAAGGCACTGTGCAGCCTCAGGAGAGCCCTACCAGCCCAGATTATAATTGTTTAATCTAAGGCACCAGATGTGCTACAGATAATTCAATATCTATAAAGCTAGGAAAAAAAGGCTAACATCCAGCTGATTAAACACATTATCTTACTATCTTTTCCTTACAGCATTTTTTTTTTTTTTTCTCCTAGAGATCAGCTTTTCACTTTTTTAGGTTAGATGGTAATTACTGTGAAGGTACCAAGTATACAAAAGTATCTACTTAGTCTAGTTTAATAGTAGCAACAGGTTGTAATAATTAAGTAAAAAGAAAAATCCACAGTGAAAGAATAGTTCTGTGTGTAACTAGCAAGACCAGATTTTGCTGAAGGACCACATCTAAACCTGGCCATTTCACATGCTAATGCATGGAAATGAACTCACACATCTCCACTGCAGAACGAGAGGGTGTTATTGATTGCTGATTTACGCCCCAATTCTGCAAATGTGTTTTCACACACTTCTCTTGGTGCAGGTTGCTTCACTGTTGAGTGACTTCACAGAATGTAATATCCAGAACATTAGGAGAGCAACTAAGTGTTTAAAGGGCTGCAGATGTACGCAAGAGTTCAGAGATGATAGGTTTTCATGGATTTACATGAAGTTTGGAATTACTGAGGTATTCAACAGCTGGGGATATCCAACAGTGTAGAACAACCCTGTACTTGTTAGTTGGCTTCTACAGTGCCAATGGCTTAGTGAGGATAGAGAAGAAAAACTAGGTGAGTTTTTAGGTAGGATTGTGGGGAGGGTGAAGGAGGGAGGCATACCACTCTTCCGACACGTGCTTCGTGTTGTCGTAACCATTGTGTAATAATATAGATGCTTAAATTTTGGGATATAGAACATTCGTAGTATCAGTGATAGGAGTGTTTCAGCAAACAGAGTCCAGATTTACCAGTGTCAGAGAACCTTCCATTCTAACCGTGTACAGAAATTATGTAGATAATCTATAAATTGTTTTTAAACTGGGAGAAGACACTTGGCAGGGAATCATTCGTACGCAGGGTCCCATCCTTGGCTGTGCTGCTAGCCCGCTTGGTAACCTATGGGAAATCACTTCATCTTTCTGTGCTTTTACTTCCCATCAGTAATGATGCACAGTGCTAGATGTTGCTATTACTATGCAGCGGTAGTGTCTAGGATGCTTGCGAGATAATTTTACTCTAGCTTCTACAATATTTCCCTTTCTGCTAAAAAAGGAGGTTCTCTAACCAGGTGTTATCAAGACAACAACGTTCCGAGATATCTTTGCGACAGGTTCAGTGATACTCGCGCTGCCTAAACCCTGGGAGGGGGTACGCACCACGCGCGGGCGAAGTCTTAATTCTGCCAGCGCCGACTCCACGCGCTTACTACAAAACGGGCTTCTCCCGCCTTGGCGAGCAGCCGGTGCGCCCCAGGGAGGGGGGGGTACACCGGCGGGACGATGAGCGGCTCTGCCCGCTCGTACCGGGGGGGGGGAGGAGGGGCCGAGGAGGCCACCGCCCCCCCAAACCCCCCCCCCCCCCCCGCCTTCCCGGTTCCGGCGGGCGCGGCCTACATCGCCCGGCGTCCCAGCGCCGAGGGCGGCGCCACCGGAAGCGCGGCGCGGGCTACTTCCGGCTGTGCGCGAGCCCCGAGCGGAGGCGAGCCCGCGAGCCTGCACCCCGACGAGACAAGATGGCCGGGCTGCCCCGCAGGATCATCAAGGTACCGGCCCCGCCGCCGCGCCGCGCTCCGCCGGGAGGTAGGGGGGGGAAGGTCCGAGGGGCGGCCCTTGCTCCGGAGCCCGGGCCCGCGCGGCGGACAGGGCTGGGCCGGGTCGGGCGCCGCTTCCGGTGCCCCGCAGCAAGGGCCGCTCCAGGGCCCCCGCCTGCCACCGCCGGGCCCGGCCGCCGCTGGGGTCGTGGGGCCGCGCCGGGCCTCGCCCCCCCCCCCCCCCCCCCCCCTTCTTCCCCCCCGCTCCTCTCCGCTCCCCGCTACTGCGGGGGCACCCGGGCCTGGCGGCGGGCAGCGGCTGGGCCCTCCTGGGGGCCGCGCCTGTCACCGTAACCGCCCGGGCCGTGATGGCGCCTCACGGAGTCTGATGCTGCCGTCCGTCGGGTGCTTGCGCGCTCCTGCTGGGGCCCGGCCTCTGAGAGGCACCGGGCGCACCCCCCCCCATCCTCCCCTCCCCGCCTTCCCGCCGGTGGTGCCTGGGCCCGGCTCCCCGGTGCAGCCCCCGGTCGGTGCCCTGGGCTGGGGGAGCGCGGCGGTAGCGCCGTGCTCGGGTTCCTCCCGCGCCAGCGGGGAGTAAAACACAGGGAGTCGTTAAACCTGGGCTTGAGCTGCGCGTCGGGGGCGTCCGTGCTGGGACACGCTGGGCCAGCCTGGTTACTACTACGTGTGCTCCGAGCTCACCGCCCTTACGGTATTAGCGTGTGCGTGCTGGCGGGTTCGTGTCTGGCCTCGACTTGCGTTTCCCGAGCTGTGCAAGGGCTCTTAACTATGGGGTACTTTCAGCTGACCTTCTGAGCACAATTTCAGTTTAAGACTTAAATGATTTGAAGTCACTCCACAAAGACATACGGGTAGGTGCATTACAAGCTATCAGAACATAGCTCAGTCCTGTAGCTAGCGTGAATATTTGTGCTGGGCTGCTATCTCCAGCTCGATTTGCAGTGATATGAATTGAAGCACTCAAATTGGTGATAGCTCCCTTTACAGAGGTTACTAAGTGATTCCAATAAGGTTCGTTAACCCTTATAGGAAATAACAGCACCCTTGTTACTTGTTGAATTGAACGAATGTCACAAATAATTTATAATGGTGTGAAGCTCTTCTGGTTGAGCATGTAGTGTTGGCAACCATTATACAACACCTGAGTGTAGAATATGTTAAATAGCGGATGAAAAACTAACACTATTTTTTCTCTAAAAAGTCACCTAATAGGAGACGAGGTAAAAATATGGCAGGAGTAGCGTTTATCTTGTGTGAAACAGACTAAACTATGGTTACTGCTCAGAACTAAGCAGTAAAAATAATGGAAGGCAAATCTTATGGAATGAGTCCGATACTTATCTACCTGCCTTAGTACGCATCATGCAAAGCTGAGTATACTTCAGGTGTGAGAGGGAACACTGATTCATAATACGGTGGAACTGGTATTCATCACAGAGTTGTGGTAAGAGCTCAGTCATGAGGCTGGTGTCTGTTAAATTTTTTTAATAGCTCTTGATAATTCCCCTGAATACAGCCAAGAAGCACATCCGCTCGTAAGCTGGTGCATAAATGTCCTTCTTGGCACTTTTGCTTTTTTTTAATGCTTTTCTAGAAAAACCTGGAGTGATTCACATGACTCCATTCAAAGATGTGTGATGACATGGGAATGTTTCCTCTCTTCCTGGAGAGGGGAGGTGGAAGGCAGCAGAAGAGAGACCCGGAAACTCCAGATTTCCTCTAGAGGATCCCTCTTCGAGTTTTGGGGATTATTATCTATTATAGGGTGCGGTGGGTGGTGTATTTCCATGTATGCGTTATAAATTGTCTTCAGCCAGTTTAGAGCTTTTAAATCTTGGATTGGTTGTATTAGATGACCAATTCTTTAGCTCCTGTGCTGTGCATGTGTTAGGTTGCTGGATGTGTGTATGGTCCAGGACTTGAATCTGACTGGTTACTACAGCCTCAAAAATGTGCAAAGTCATATTTTGAAATAACGTAGCTGCAGAGGTGCATACCTAGAAATATGCCTGTTTGAGTCTTCAGGAGTCTTGAGTGAGAATTGTTTTGACCTTTTCTGTCCTGCCAATCTTGATGTTAAATTTCCTATTGCTGGTTGCCTTAGAGGGAGAGGAGGGAGTGGACTCTGCTGCTAGTGAGATCAGGAAAGGAAATGGAAGAGAGAGAGAGATAGGAAATGAAAGAGCTGTGGAAAGGTGAAATAACTTCAATAACAAGAAGATCTTATATTCTTTATGCACAGTAATAAATTTGATGATAAATAAATGGCTTAGGTTACTGTTAGGAAAAGACCTTCTCCTTTTGATTCACTTGCACCCTTTGTGTTGTCATCCGAGGGAGACTGTCGGTGGCTGACTGGGGACAGGAGTGCACATTTGAACTGTAATGAAGTGCAGAATCTAGCTAACCGCTCGAAATGCAGTTGACGTTCCTCGCCTTGACCGACTGCTGGCAGATGGCCTGGCTCTCAGGTTGACTAGCGGCTCCTCAGCTTGCTTCTTCACTATGTGCAGGCTGTCATCTAGCCCAGGAGGAGAGCAGCCGCTTTCCTTGTCTCGGCAGAGCACTCTATTTATATTCCAAATACTTTCCCCAAATTCAATTAAAAGGTGACAGTATAGATGTTGCAAAGCAGTTGTTACAGAAGATACAGAATTACTACTGTTTTATTGTCCTCAGATTACTGAGAAACACAGATTTTAAATGGAGGGGGGTGGGGGGAATGATCTGTAAGCCCAAGAGATTGCTTGCATTAGAGTTATGATTTAGTGTTGGCACATCACAAATGCTGAGTAGAAAATGATGGTATGGTTTTGAATCTTTAAAGATAAAAGGTTTTCCAATTCTGATTATATCTTGTGAATAGAGAAGAGGTATTTTTATGTTCTTCACTAGTCCAAAACCAAGGGTTCTCTGAAAATCACCTTGACAAGAAAATTTATTAACATAAGATAACATAAAAAAAATGCGGTATGGCACATTTACATAGATGTGTGTTTTTGATGTTGTAAACTTTTTTCCTACTGCACAGTATTAAAAAGAGCCTTTGCAACATGCACAATAAATAATAAGCCCAGTGATTTTTGCTTTCAAGCACTTATTATACCAATTCTTTCCAGTGTTGCAGAGTCACGTAGCTCCAGTCGAGTAAGGAATTGAATTGCATCTGATTTTTTTTTTTTTTTTTTTTTTTTCTTTTTGGCTGACATTCAAACCACCTCATTGCTGTGTCGAGTGCAGCCGGTATATCTGAATGGGATGTGCAATGCTGCCTCGTGTCATCTTTTCAAGTGTTTTTTCTGCTGTTTTCACTGCTGCAGTGACCTCATCATTCATGATTTGATGTCCAGGTCTATGTATCGACTGTGTAGCCAGTTAGTAGTGCTTCAGTTACAATCGCTGCAGCTGCGCATATCATGAAGTAACCATTTGAAGCAGTATTTGAGACTCCTTAAATTTTTTTGTATTGATTAATTTTTCAGTGTTAAATTACTGAGGCTTTGATTTCCACGCCTGCATGGTAGGGTGGTGGTGTCTGGGAGATTCCTTCCTTGCTGTTTCCTGTGAGAAGCTATTTCCACACTGCTGCCAGGGGGCTTCTGCTTTGCAGTATTTTTTGAGAATCTGGATAACATTTGGATTGCTGAGTTATAAAATGCTATCTCAAGATGTAAAATTTCTGGGAGGTTTTATGGAGATTCTCATGGTGTGTGTGGTGACAGGCACCTACAGCGTTCCCTATTAGATGCTTTATATGTGTTTTAAAATATAAATCAGATATTTAGTATGCAACTTCTGCAACTCTCTAGAAGTTCTTAAACAGTAATACTGGCAGCCAACTTGAATTTTCTCACTTTGAAGCTGTGGACTTCTGGGGCATGGACATCTGTCTTCAGATGAGAACTTAAGTCACCATTACTTTTTGTTTTCTCTGACCTTCCTGCTAATTTTTTATTTCCTAGATAAAGAATTTAAACGAAAAAAGCTGTAAATTTAATACCCTTTTGTGGTATTTTGCATTTGTTCGGGTGATGGTTAGAGATAGAAAACATTATTTCTGGACAGTGCTGTTCCTTGGCATTTGTCAGAGAAGCTGTATATTTGGTCTTTGTAATGTCTTTTTGCCCCTTGTATGCTGCTTGAATCTTGTGGCTAGCTTTTAATTTGACATAAGGGTGAAAATGTTGGGAATTTTCAGAGGGGTTTTTTGTACTGTTCTTAAAACCACCTTCCCCTGCCCACCAACAAATGTAGGAAGGTAATACCTATGCTACTTTGTGACCCTCATTGAGACATCTTGCCAGGCAACTAGTGTAGCGTAGGCCGGCTGTGGTAGTGGGAAGGGTGTATAGGCAGGTGTTGGAAGCCTGAAGTTTGGCAGGACAGATCCTTTGTGGAGGTGTGGGAGGGAGGCAGAGAAGGCTCAGGCCCAGAGAATAAGAAAGCTTTCAAGTGAGGCCAAGGTACCAGTTTTAAAAGGAAGACATAGGGTCTTAATAAAAGATCTTAAAGAGAACACTGGTAGCTTTGCACAGCCTTTTCCTTAAAGAAGCTTTCAGTAGACACTAGAGAATAAAACATGAGGAAAACCAGCAAATAATCCAATTAGAGGTAAAAATCTTGTTTGGACCACCTTCTTATATAGTACTTGAGCAACTTTGAGGTACAAATCTATAGTACACAAAGATTTCTAAGTACTGATGCTAATGCTTTTTTATCACTTTGCATGCAGTTGTTTTATAATGTACTTGTCTGTTATGTTTACATGGCTTTCAGTGTATCATCAAAATTTGTTTTGTGTAATAGTATACCCACCCCGCCTCCCATTTTCATAGCTACATGTGACTGGTGGGTTAATAGTGAGAAGTAGCAAACTTTGCCATAGGTGTTGTGGTAGGTTGACCCTGGCTGGATGCCAGGTGTCCACCAAAGCTGCTCTATCTCTCTTCTCCTCAGCTGGACAGGGGAGAGAAAATACAATGAAAGGCTCT